AACTTTCAAATAACCCACAGGAAGGCAAAATATAAAAATAAAAATGAAACACAAAAATGAAAAGCAGAACAAATAGAAAACAAAATAAAACAAGGAAGCAAACTTAATCCCTAACATATTATTGATTACAATAAATGTAAATGGGTCAAATAAAATCATCAAAAGAAATCTTGGTAGAGTAGACTTGAAAACGTGATCCAAATATATGATTTCTATAAGAAATTCATTTCAAATATAAAGACATAGGCAGGTAGGAAGTAAATTGATGTAAAAATTTATGTCATGCAAACAAAGATAAATGCTGTGTGATCTTTATATGTGTAATCTAAAAAAGTCAAACTCATAAAAACAGAGAGTAGAATAGTGACTGGTGGGAGATGTCCATCAAAGTGTATGAAATTTCACTTAGGAGGATTTACATTCTGGAGATCTATTGTACAGCATGGTGACTATAAAATTTATAATATATTCTCATTTTTTATGACGAGAATAAGACCTACTCTCTTAGAAAATTTCTTAGAGAAATTAGAAAGTTTCTAAGAGAGTAAAAATTTCTTAGAAATTTTATAGCAAAATGTATAGCAAAATTCAATGGTAGACTTCTTCCAGAAAAATAGAGTTGATGTACTTTTTCCTATTCCTCATGCTAAGTACACCAGAAACCTTGGATATTATATATAAAACAAACATATGAAGACTCTGAAAGGTGGAGAGAAAAACACAGACAAATGAGGAGACTTAGAATCCAGTAAATAACACGGTGGTGAGTTTCCCGGGTCTTTCTCTTGGCTTATATAACCCAGAGGCAAGAGAAAGTGGAATTGAAGAAAGTGGCAGTCAGGAAACACAACAGGCATAGAAAATTCTTAGAAAATTTCTAAGAGAGTAGATCTTAAATTATTCTCATCATAAAAAGTGATAAGTATATGAAGTGATAGATATGTTGATTTAATTATTCACAATGTATACATACAGAAAAACATTATGTTTCATGCCATAAATATACACTATCAATTCACATATATATACTATTAAGGTTTATTTTGTTATTATAGGCTTTTAATTTATCAATTAAACCTAAATAAAGCCAAAAAACAAAAAAACTGCATTGAATTGAGTGCACAACACATCAAAATTTGTGAGCTAAAATGAAAGCATTGCTAAAAGGAACTTTATACTTCCAGTTACATACATTAGAAAAGAGGAGTCTCAACGTATTAATCTAAGCTCTCTTCTCATAAAAACAGAAGAGAAAGAGCAAAGTAAACCCAAAGCTGGCAGATGGAAGAAAATAATAAGGATGGGCTGGGAGCAGTGGCCCACACCTGTAATCTCAGTCATTTGGGGGACCATGGTAGGAAGATCACTTGAGACCAGAAGATCAAGACCAGTCCAAGTAACACAGCAAGACCCCATCTCTACAAAAAAAAGTACAACAAATTAGCTGGGAATGGTGGTGCATGCCTGTAGTCCTAGCTACTTGGGAGGCTGAGGCAGGAGAATTGCTTGAGCCAAGGGGTTCAAGATTGCAATGAGCCATGATTGTACCACTGAACTCCAGCCTGCACAACAGAGTGAGACCCTGTCTCAAAAAATAACAATAAATACATAAAATGTATATTTTTTAAAAAAGAAAATAAAAAGGATAAGAGCAGAAATAAATGAAATTGAAAACAGACAATACAGAAAAATCAATATGACAATCACTCTGAAAAGGTCAGTAAAATTGACAAACTTCTTGAAAAGTTGTTTTAAAAAAGGGAAGAGATACAAATTACCAATATAAAGAATAAAATAGAGGATAGCACTTCAGACCCTGCACACATTAAAAGAATAATAAGGAAACCAATCTATGCATGTAAATTTGGCAACTTAGATAAAATAGACAAATTCTGTTTTATCTAAGAATCATCTTAGATATTAAAATTATCTTAGATATTAAAATTATCTTAGATAAAATAGAACACAAACTACCGCAATATATGCTGATAGACTGATAAGTATTAAGAAAATTGACTTCAATTTTTTTTCTTTTTTTCTTTTTTTTTTTAAAGACAGATTTTCACCATGTTGGTCAGGCTGGTCTTGAACTCCCGACCTCAGGTGATCCGCCCACCTTGGCCTCCAAAGTGCTTGGATTACAGGCGTGAGCCACCGTCAATTTTTTTAAAACTCTCCAAAAGGAAATATCTTCAGGCTTAGATGGTTTAATTCAAGAATTCAACCAAATATTAAAGAATTAATACCAATTCTACACAATCTGCTTCAGAAAATAGAAAAGGAAAGAATATTTTCTCAATTCATTTTATAAATCTAGAATTATCCTGATACTCATACCAGACAAAAACAACACAAGAAAGAGAGAAATTAAAAAAGAATGAGGAAAAGATATTAATAACTACAGGCCAATATTTCATGAACATAGATTACAAATCTTTAACAAAATATTAGCAAGTAGAATTTAGAAATACATAAAAAGAATTATGAACAACTACCAAGTGGAGTTTATTTCAGGATACAAGGATAGTTCAATATTGAAACATCAATTAATATCATCTATCACATCAATAGAAAATTACACAATATTATCAACTGATGCAGAAAAGCATTTGTTAATATTCAACATTCATTAATGATAAAAATTCTCATAAAATAAAGATGGGGAAAATTATTTTACTTGATAAATATCATTTACAAAAAAACTACAGCTAACATGATATTTAATGGTGAAAGACTGAATCCCCACACCCCAAGATTGAAAATAATGACTGCTCTCACCAGTTGACTGTATTGGTCAAACATAGTCCTGGACATTACAGCTACTGAATAAGGGAAGAAGAGAAATCAAAGGCATATATCTCAGTGAAAATGATATTAAATTGTCCTTACTTACAGATTACATGACTGATCATGCAGAAAATTTTAAAGCCTCTGTAAAAAGGATCTTAGAACTAATACGTGACTTCAGCATGGTCACTGATCCAAGATCAATGTATAAAAATTAATTCTATTTCTGTATACCAGCAATAAATATGTGAACATCAAAATTTAAAGTACAATATCATTTATAATCACTCAAAAAATGAAATACTTAGGTATTCATCTGGCAAAATATATATATTATTTTAATGCTAAAAGTCATAAAACAGTAAATAAAATCTAGAGACAAGTCAGCAAAATGGTGTAATAAGAAGTCACCCACTCATATCCTCTCAAAACTAAGAATTCTGCATTCATCCACAGACAAGTCTCTGCAGGATTCAGGTAGGAAGCTGTGAATCCCTAGCAGAGCCCAAGAGTTAGAGAGGCTGTTTTGAGAGTGCAGACCAACAGCCAGGTGGCAGACTTGCTGATCTTGCCCCTGGGATTTAAATCTAGAAACAGCCTTGTCTCCCAAAAGGCTTAGCTGCAGTCCTGTTTATCCTTGAGCCTACAGCCAAAACAATTTGCCAAGGGGTCTAGAAGGAATCATGCACATTAGTGCCTTGGCAGAAAGACTCAACTGCTCACTGACAATGGTCTTGGAAGTGAATTTATTTATTTATTTATAATTTATTATTTTTTTAAAGGTGGGGTTTCACCATGATAGCCAGGCTGGTCTTGAACTCCTGACCTCAGGTGATCCACCCACCTCAGCCTCCCAAAGTGCTAGGATTACAGGTGTGAATTTAAAGTTGCCTTGTAACTGGGCTCTAGCCCTCCTTATCTGGGATCCCAGCTTATTACTGTTTGTGCAAGAACTCAAAAGGAAGACTCATCGATATCTCACAGTCTAGGGATTACCCATGTCGGCCATGTTAGCCTACAAGATGGGCACATCAGCCTCCATCCCAAAGCAGATCCTGAGGGGTCTCAGGCAGCTCCAGCTCCTCAGTCTGGGAACCGTCCCATTTTTGCAGGAAATGATGGTGGGATGTGCACCCTCCTGACCTACTGTAGTGAACTCACTGGGCTTCATCTCACAGTGAATTCTGAGGGGAACCAGTCCCAACTTCAGCATCTCCTGCTACACTAGGGGAACTGTCTCACCCATTTAGAGAACTGTTGGGAGGCGTGCATATCTGGGCCACCAGCTCCCATCGCACAGCAGGTACAGAGGCAGCTTAGTTTCAGCTCCATTCCCTCTTGCTGCAGTGGGGAATTGGCCTGGAAGCATCACCTGTCTGGGCCTATGGGACAGGCTTCCAGACTTGGCTCCCTGGCCAGTATTCTCACACAGCTTGGATATATTCCTTGGATCTTTGCCAGGACCATCTCTGCCAGAATGCATGCCAACCTTGAGGCTTTTGTAAAACTCACAACAAATATGAGCTTAGGGCACCCTCTAGTGTTGAAACAACTACCATCGTCACAGTCTTTTATAACAGTCAGTCAGCTTAGATAACTGAACAAGCCCAATGAAGAGGATGGGCACGTATAGGGCCAGACTGTGAAGACTAAAATAAATACCTAATTTTTCAATGTGCAGACATCAATGTGCATCTACAATCACTAAGAACTATCTAAATTATGCCCTCACCAAATAGACAAAATAAGGGGCTAGTGACAAATCTCAAAGAGAAGATGTGTAATCTATTAGACAAAGAATTGAAAATAGCTGTGTTAAGAAAAAAAAATTGTATGGAACCACAAAAGACCCTGAATAACCAAAGCAATCTTGAGAAAAAAAAAAAAAGCTGGAGGCTTTGCAGTAGCTGACTTCAAATATACTGCAAAAAGATAGTAACCAAAGCAGCATGGCACTGGCATAAACACACACACACACACACACACACACACACACACACAAAATGACCAGTGGAATAGAATAAGGAAGACCATAGAAATAAATGCACATGTTTACAGCCAACTAGTTTTCAATAAAAGTTCCAAGAACACACATTGGGAAAAGGACAGTCTAATAAATGGTGCTTAAAGAACTGGATATACATGCAGAAGAATGCAATTAGATCCTTATCTCATCATATGCAACATCAACTCAAAATAGATTAAAGACTGAAATGTGGGAGTGTGGTCAGGCGGCCCAGACTGAGCAGGACTTTCCTTATCCCAGTTGATTGTGCAGCTCGCTTGTCTTCTATTCACCATGGCTTCTTCTGATACCCAGGTGAAAGAACTGGAGAAGCGTGCCTCAGGCCAGGCTTTTGAGCTGATTCTCAGCCCTTGGTCAAAGGAATCTGTTTCGGAATTCCCCCTTTCCCCTCCAAAAAAGAAGGATCTTTCCCTGGAGAAAATTCAGAAGAAATTAGAAGCTGCAGAAGAAAGACCCAAGTCCCATGAAGCTCAGATCTTGAAGCAGCTTGCTGGTAAACGAGAGCATGAGAAAGAAGTGCTTCAGAAGGCAATAGAAGAGAACAACAACTTCAGTAAAATGGCAGAAGAGAAACTGACCCACAAAATGGAAGCTAACAAAGAGAACCGAGAGGCACAAATGGCTGCCAAACTGGAGCGTTTGCGAGAGAAGGATAAGCACATTGAAGAAGTGCGGAAAAACAAAGAATCCAAAGATCCTGCTGACGAGACTGAAGCTGACTAATTTGCTCTGAGAACTGACTTTCTCCCCATCCCCTTCCTAAATATCCAAAGACTGTACTGGCCAGTGTCATTTTATTTTTTCCCTCCCGACGAATATTTTAGAAGCTAATGTAGGACTGTATAGGTAGATCCAGACTGTAAGATGTTGTTTTAGGGGCTAAAGGGGAGAAACTGAAAGTGTTTTTTCCTAAAGTGTTGGTCTTTCTAATGTAGCTATTTTTCTTGTTGCATCTTTTCTACTTCAGTACACTTGTGTACTGGGTTAATGCTAGTACTGTATTGGCTCTGTGAAAACATATTTGTGAAAAGAGTATGGAGTGGTTTCTTTTGAACTGTTAGATGCTGAATATCTGTTCACTTTTCAATCCCAATTCTGTCCCACTCTTACCAGATGCTACTGGACTTGAATTGTTAATAAAACTGCACAGTGCTGTTGGTGGAAAAAAAAAAAAAAGACTGAAATGCAGCCAGGTGGTGGTGCATATCCATAGACCCAACTACTCAGGAGGCTGAAGCAGGAGGATCACTTGAGCCCAGGAGTTCAAGGCCAGCCTGGGCAACATAGTGGACATAGTGAGCTCCTATCTCTAAATTTAAAAAATTGAAAAAAAGAAAAGACTGAAACAAAAGATCCAGACTACAAGAATAAAATATAGGGTAAATGTTCTGGGTGCAGTGACTCATGCCTGTAATCCCAGCACTCTGGGAGGCTGAGATGGGTGGATCACTTGAGGTCAGGAGTTTGAGACCAGCCTGGCCAACATGGCGAAACCCAATCTCTACTAAAAATACAAAAATTAGCCAGGTGCGATGGTGCACACCCGAAATTCCAGGTACTTGGGAGGCTAAAACATGAAAATCACTTGAACACAGGAGGCAGATGCTGCAATAAGCCAAGATCATGCCAGTGCATCCCAGCCTGGGCATACTGTGTCACAAAACATCTGTCTGTCTATCTATCTACCTACCTATCATCTATCTATCTGTGGTAAATGTTTCATGACATTTGTCTGGGACAATAATTTTTTTTACAAGACCTCAAAAACACAGGCAACAAAAGAAAAAATAGGTGAATGCAATTACAGCAAAAAGCTTCTGCACAGCAAAGGACATGGAGCAAAGACAATGCCTATAGAATGGGAGAAAATACCTGCAACTATGCATCTGACAAGGGGTTAATATCTAGACTATACAAGGAACTCAAACAGCTCTACAGCACCCCAAAAAATCAAACACCCAACTTAAAAATGGGCAAAAAGCCTGAGTAGACATTTCTCCAAAGAAGATGTAGAAATGGCCAAAGAGATGTGAAAAATGCTCAGCATCACAAACCAGGGAAATGAAAATCAAAAGTACAAAGAGATCTATCACCTCATCTCAGTTAAAATAGTTTTTATCAAAGAGACAAAAAAATAACAAATGCTGGTGAGAATGTGGAAAAAGGGGAACTTTAATATACTGTTGGTGAGAATGTAACTTAGTACCAGACATTAGGGAAAACAGTACAAATATTTCTCAGAAAATTAAAAATAGAGCTACTATATGATCTAACAATCCTAGTGGTGGGTATAATTAGTATGTCAAGGAGATACCTGCACCCACGTTTCTTGCAGTGCTATTCACAGTAGTAAAGATATGGAATCAACCTAAGTGTACATCAACAAATCAATTATTTTTTTTTTTTTTGAGATGACGTCTTCCTCTGTAGCCCAGGCTGGAGTGCAGAGGTGCGATCTCAGCTCACTGCAGCCTCTGCCTCCCGGGTTCCAGCAATTTTCTTGCCTCAACCTTCCAAGTAGCTAGGATTACAGGCACCTACCACCATGCCCAGCTTTTTATTTTTATTTTTAGTAGAGACAGGATTTCCAGGGGCTGACCCAGAGAGTGTTGAACCTCGGGATATAGTAGAGAGAGCTTGGCATGACTTGTTACCCCAGGCTGTAGAATCCTGAAAAAGAGTTACCATATAGCCCATGCCTGGTCAACTGGAGGACCATCCTAGTGGAAAGGGGACAATCTGGGCCTCTGACCCAAGCATAGCAATTGCTTTGTTTAATGTGCAGACAAAATATTTGATGTATTCCAGTCAGACATTTGCATCTTGATATCCTGTCTCTATTGCTAAAGTTTGTTTTCAATCATTTACTTCTGCAACATCTACTTTGGTCCTATCATTGGGTATAGAAGGGATAATAGTTTGATCAGAAGAAGGTCCAAAAGAAGAAGAAGGAGAAGGGGGAAAAGAGAATGAGGGATTAATAAACCACATTTCGAAAGACCCTTTGAGGTCTGTGCCAGCCAAGTTGGTTCCTATGCTATAGAAGTGAACTAAAGTGGGGTCAGGATTGGTAGAGGTGGAGGTAAGAATAGAGAGCTATAGTGGATTTCATTGGTACTGTTGACAGTTAGAAGGAAGGCTTTCTTTGGTGAAATGGAAGTGTGGGTTTAGAGAGGTGCAGCCCTTTGAGGAAGTCCAATCTTGTTCCTCAGGGGTCCATAAGACATCATCCTAGGAGGGACAGTACCATCCTGAAAACTCATCCTTGTTTGGTTCCCCAAATTTGAGAAATATGGGGACTTGGTTTCTATGAAGCAAGCATCATGGAGGTTAGAAGTTACTTTGGAAGGACAGATGTTTTTCTGAGGAGGCCAGTTGCTTTTGGTTTTGGAGATCCCCGCAAGGTATGGTGAGACAGGCATCAAATGTGGCCGGCTGAGGAAAAGGTGACCTGGTCACGTTAATAACAAGGTGGTCAGCAGTAGAACAAGGAAAGAAGAAGGAAAAATAAAATAAATAAAGAGGGTTAAACTTTTCTCAGCTTTAGTTTGGTAAGGTTCCCCTGGGACTATGGCCCATGATTCTGGAGGGGGTGGAGCTTTTTTGACTCTGGGTATGATGGGTCCATCCTCTTTCTGCTATCCATATTATGGTTTCAGTAGTTAGGAGCACTAGGTAAGGTCCTTTTCAGGCCAGTTTGAGCTTTTCCTTCTCTCCAGCTTTTGATGAGGACGTGGTCCCCAGGCTGATGTCTGGGTCCTGGAAACTCTTAGGGGTGGCACCTGTGCTAAAAGACCTTTTAGTTCTGAGGGAAGAGAAAATGGAAGATAAACCACGTATATAATTTCTGAAAAACTGATCTTTTGTTTCAAATGTAGGAAGATCAGTGGTAGAATGTAAATGGGGCAATTCATAAAGCATCTTATAAGGGGATAGGCCTATGTCTTTTTGGGGAGCAGTTTGGACTCTCAACAGGGTGCTGGCCGTTCTATTTTCCCTGATGAAGGTGAGTGCCAGGGAGTATGATATTCCCATGTTATATCCAGTACCTGGACTAATTTCTTTATGACATGTGCAGTGAAATGAGTCCTATTATCTGAATCAATGTCTTTTATTAATCTAAACCTGGGTATAATATTTTCAACTAATGCTTTGACTACATTATCAGCAGTTGTACTTGAAAAGGGAATAGCTTCTCTCTCATGATTAAGGTGATCTACTATTACTAACGTAGCAGGAGCGGCCACGGGAAATGGATCCCTCAAACACCGAATAAAGGAGGGAGGAGTTTATTTGGCCGGGAGACCAGGCAGTAATTTGTCAAAACCCCAGCTCCTCTAACAAAGGAAGGTTCTGCCTTTATATAGGCTTACACTTTAGATGTTACATGTGGAAGAATCTTAGGTTCATGGTTTTAGGACTCACATGTGAAAAGGTTTTGGTTTACAGTTTCAGGAATCACATATGAAAGTGTTCTGGTTTACAGTTTCAGGACTCACATGTGAAAAGGTTTCTGGCTTGATCTTGTTTTAAGTAAAAATAGTGCCTTCTGGAGAGTTTCCCCAAAGCCTAGCCTGTCACCTATAGGAAGGTGAAACTGGAGGCGCCAGTCGGTCAACCTTTTCTTCTATCGAAATGCAGCATGATAGTCAAAGGGGAAGTGGATCTGAGAAGCCTGGGTCTCCCTCTTCACTAATAGATACTTTAGAAGACCAATTGGAGGCATTTCTGTGTAATCAACTTGGATATTTTGGAATGGTCTTAGGCCTGGACTCCTTCCCGCAAGGGGTAATCTATTTATAGTTTGTTTATTTTTCTTACATACTAAGAAAGTATCTGTAACTTCTTTGGCCATTCCTATGCACCCATCACACATCTCATCTCTGAGAACTGCATCACACATGGCCTGGGAACCTCAGTGGATCCCTTGATGCAGTTGGAATAAGATTTCCCTTATAAAGCGTTTGGATAACATTTCTTTCTAGTCTGGCAATATCCATTTTCCTTCTGAATTCTCTTTAGCACCTATTTTTATTAGTGTTTAAACCAAAAAAAAGCCAAACACCATTTTATATTTGACAATGCTTCTTGTATGATTTTATGCAGGATAAACTAAATTTTACCTTTATATTAGTGTGCTATTAATGTTAAACTCAATTTTTATAAAACCTCGTAGACATATTTACGCAATTTTAATGTCTAAACATAGGTAAGATTTTTATAGACTCTTTTTAACCCTTTATAATTTTTGTTAAAGAGCAGTGTTGGTGACCCCAAGAATGTGGGGCATGACCAACTCAATACCCCTCTGGAGGCTACATGAGCAAACAGCAAACTGTTCTCATGAAAGCAGGACGCTGGCAAACTGACAAACTGTGTCTGCCACCAGAAGGAATGTTGAGGGCAGTCACATCCCAGGTCCCACCCTCCTTGAGGTTATCTGTGCTCCTTGAGGTTATCTACCTGAATATCTGGAACCTGTTGAACAAGGGAAGCAGTACCTGTGATAAATCAGCTGCCAACATAAATCAAGTAGCTGACTGACAATCACCATCTCCTCCCTATTCACTTTACTTAATAAGTATGAAGGGCTGTAAAAGCTCAGGGCCTTTGTTCACTAGAAGGAAAGAGCCCTCTGACCCCTTCTTTCAAACAGAACCTTTTGTCTTTGTCTTGAATTCCCCTTTCATCAGCCTTCATTCATGAGATAACTACAGGAGAACAGGTTAGTGCTTTAAAAAAACCCATTGTGCTTTTATTGTAATGTCCAGTTTACAGAAAAACCGAATGACATCCCTTTAACTTTAGCCAATATGTTTACACACAGAATTTCCTTTACAATTAACATTCCAAAATTTGCTTAAACCTTTAAAACAATTTTTAATCCTAATATAGATAAAAATCTACATTCTTATGCCTCCTTATAATTCTTTTACCAAAAGTATATTTACTTTCCTCACACACCTTGCACATAAACTGTTTTTTCAATAGCTTAACATTTAGGAGGCCTAATTACTTTTAAATTATATAACATTTCATGCATAAATAATCTTTTATAACATTTTTCACAACTTTCACAGACAATCTTTGACATTTCTTAACTTTCTGATTTGTTGTAAACATGCCTTTCTTTAAACAACCAGTTAATTTACTTTAAGACAA